ACAAAAAAACAAAAAATACCACAGACATTCATGAGATGTCTAAAATTAAACTTGTGATGAATCTTGCAGGTACATTTAGGAGATGGATGTACGAACATTCAAGTGAGCAAACCAGATGACAGTTTCATCACAACAAGATGACAATGTAAGCAAAACAAGAGCTGAATAACTATTACAAGAAAACGCCGAAGAAAAACACACTAACAATCATTGAAACTTACATTTGCAGACATTGGAGGCAAACTTGCATAATGAAGTGGCAGCAAGCGAAGATGGGGGAGGAGAATGTAATCCCTGGGACACAAACCTGTTCTATAACATGAATCTGCAACATGTACACACCACAAAATTCAGAAATACAATGATGAACCTAAGAGAAACTCATAACATTTCAGAAGAAAATAACTAAAAGAAATCCCTAAAAGTTGCAGGTGCCTGAAGATGTTGATCGCAGTAGAGCAGCAGCTAACACGAACTCAAGCACGGGTCAAAGGAATGGAGAAGGAGAAAGAAAAGAACCAGAAGACTCACTTGAACAAGGAGACGATGAATTCCTCAATGAAGAAGACATTAAAGTGAGCTAAATGAAAACCGTCGTACAGTACTAAACCAAGCAAGGAACATTGAATACTAGCTAAATAGTATATAGGAACCAATGGTATTACTGAGCAAACTAGACTTAATTACATTGAAAAATAGACAAAATTAATGTGCAAACAGTGTGCAAGACGGGCTAAAATACACTGACAAAACCACTCAAAATCCAATAACAACCGAATTATTGGGTAAACTACACTCTAATGTTGGGGTAAATTACACTGAAACTACATTCAAATTACACTATAAATCCACTGGAATTAATGGGTGAATTACAATTAGAAGTCTGTAATGCTGGGATGAACTACACTGCAATCACAATCAAATAACATAGAAAATTCACTCAATACCACACTGAAAAAGGTTAATTAAATTATAAATCTGGTAGAAATTACACCATAAATCTGGGACAAATTACACTGCAATACTGAGATAAAATTACACTGTAAGTCTACACTGGAACTACAGCCAAATAACACTGTAATATCCACTCAATATACACTGTAAATCCCGGACAAATTACACTGAAAGACTGGCACAAATTACAGTTCAAAAATCAGGTTAATTACCTGCAAAATCTGAAAGAAATTACACTAATACAGTACTGAGATTACACTGCAAGTCTGGGACAAAATTACACTGTAAGTCTGAGATGAATTACAGTGTAAAATAACACTGCAAATCCAATCACAACAACTGAGTAAAATGACCATCAAAGGCTGAGATAAAATTACACTGAAATTAAACTCAAACCATCCCTGCAAGAAGTAAACAAACATGGTACAAGGGGAACTAAACACCTACACCCCGCAAGAACAAATCAGGAGGCGAAATGTACTTAGTACATGAACAGGAATACACACAGGAGCATCAGAACATGAGCAGGAAAGAGCTAGGCATCTGTACAAACCTCACCTACAGGAACATGAGCAGAATATCTATAGAAATCCCGCACACTACATCTATAGAAAATCCAGCACCTATAGCTACATCTACAGAAATCTGCCATGGAATCCCGCATGCTACATCTACACCTACAGAATCCCGCATGTTACATCTACGTAGAAAAGGAAAACAACAGTTACATCTACAAACTACAACAGGAGCACGCGCGCGTGTATCACAAGGCCCAGCAAATCACACATACCAGCGGCTGCATCAGATGGCGAGAGGGCGACATGAACTGACCTAGATCTAGAACAACACAAGCAGAACAACAAACACGCGCGAGAGAGAGAGGAACAACCAACCGTGACACAGGGGGGCGAAGAGAATGGGAAGAGAGATCAAGCTCAGGCGGTGGGAGATCTCGAAATCTCCATGGATGGGGAGAATCACATACTCTGCTCCCCCGCTCGAGCTCCCCCTCAGCCTCATCGAAACAGAGAAAACGAAATGAAAAGAGTCGGCCCGGGCGGCGGTAACGGACAAAGAGAAAACCGCACCAGACAAAAAACCGGACCCGGGAATAAGCTCGAACAATCGCAGAAACCAGCGCGAATCTCCGCGCAAAAAACGACGGACAACAATTTGAACGTCAACGAATTGCAAAACACTCAGCTGTAAAATAGTAAAACCGTAAAATTATCTAGTACCATCATGTTCACTATTTGTTGTGACTCTTGCATATTAGAGATTCGAATTGGATATGTATAGGCATGGAAGGCATTCGGAATTACCAATGGATAACTATAACTATAGCATGCACCATTTGTCTTGCACATTCATCGTGAATCCCCCTTCTACTATGCCGGGTCGGTGTGACTATGGCCTTCTTTGTCATATCGGCTCGCACAACGGGGTCATGATCATGAAGAGAAGCTAAATGAAGTGCAAGAAAGTTTAACAGATTTCTTGCTACGGGGGCATGCTGCAAAAACAATCACCATCGTTATAAGTGCTAACAGAGTATTCCCTTCAGTTTTGAAGAGATTGACGCCTTGGATCTAGCTTTATCCACGGTGTACTTGTGATGTTGTTTATTTATAACTGGAACCTGAAAAAAATCTCTCATAGAGCATCGTTTGAAATATTACGGTTTTGCTTGACATCACACATACATTCTTTTTTGGAAAAGAAGGTTAAACCTTCGGCCTCTGCATCAATCGATGCATACAGTCATCTTTATTAATTATTCTATAAAGATAAAGGTTTGACAAGAAAATACATCAAGCCACCCAAAGCCACCACTCACACCTACAAACTCGATAATGTAGAGTGCTCTCACCCCCATATCTAAAATTGGTGTCGTCGCCGATCCATCCACATAACGTATCGGGACCAACAGCCAGTGCAGCAGACCTAAACGCGCACCACATGCGTTTTAGAAGCCGGAAGCCGCCATTATCCTCAGACCGCTGACCCATCTTCAGGATAGAGATCCGCATCATCCTTGCCAGTCCAGACCTCCATCGACGCCACCATGATGCCCAACGGTGCCACCGGCCTGCGCGCATTCATCGAGTCGCGAAGATTCTGGAAGATCTGTCGTGCGTAGCACTTGCCGACCAGGCATGAGACAGCGTAGCACCTGTCGGCCAGGCATGACTTGACATCTCCACCGAAGCTCCATGCAAGACTTAGCCGCTCCACCTCCTGCATCTGTCTTCCAGCGCTGCTCCACAGACGATGCTACCAAGAGAGTAATGACACCGCAGTACCACCATCGTCTGATCTGGATGACCAGATCTTAGGGTTTCCCCCGAAGCAGCACGAGTGGGTCGACAGAAGCTACACGACGATGCCTTCATTAAGGTAACGACGCAAGATGCCGCTATCGCCCGCCATCGGCTCAGTTTTCACCAGCAACTCCGTCTCCCCATCTCACAGCCAGGACTAGATGACGGATCTGGAGATCCGACCATCCAGCTTCAGGTTGACCATCTCCGGCAAAGGAGGCGGCCACCACCGCCACGGCTAGGGCCGGAGCCCCGACGTCCTCGTGATGCGGGTCGATTCCAGGGGCAGCATGCCGTTGAAGGGACGGTAGACGACATCAACAAGTGTGTCCTGCCCGAAGCCCATCTGGACCCAGATCGAGTGCCCAAGCCGCCGCCGCTGGACCCGTCGTCGAACGCCGCCGCCGCCCCGCTCCACTACTATAGATTTGGCCATCGCGGACCACCGCCGTCCTAACCGAATCGTTGGCTGAGGAGAAACGCCGCCGCCACCGTTGCGGCACACAGGCTTTGCCTGCGACGCCCCTGGCGGCGGCGGCGGGGAGAGGGTGTACGCTGGAGAGAACGGGTGACGGTCGGCGGGGGTGCTCCGGTGCCGAGCGGGGAGGGTGAAGGAGATGAGATCTTGTGTGGGAAGGGTTAGCTTCTATCCAGATCCTTGTGTGCTTGTACATACATGTATTACATGACACATACATATATTACAACAAAAAATAGCGGGAAAAATTGCATGTGTCTCTTGTTTATTTTGAGTACAAGACACTCACTCATAGATGCCCACATACATGCACATACATTCAAAAGCATGCACGTGCACCTTTTGATATATTGAGCTGGCGTCACATTTTGAGACTGACAAAGTCATCACAAACACTTCATAGTCTCCTCTCACTAAACCAACATGACCGAAACTTGAACCATTTGAGCTATGCTCCATATAAAATTATCAATGATATAAACCTTTTGTGAACCAGAAGGGAGCAAGTGCAGAGGCATAGAAGATGTAGAAAGGTTGCTAAAAAGTCCCTGCCAAGTATCAATATATATAATTCTAAAAAAATCAATATATTATTTTGTTTCTAGAAAATCGGCCGTCTAGTCTTCATCCTCAAAATCGACACGGCCTTTTTTTGCAAATACCCCCGTTATTTTTTGATTCAAACCACAGTGCACTGAAAGGTCTGGACAGATCAGTGCATTTTTGCAAGTTCTAAGACTAAACCATCACATTAGATGCAAGTTCTGGACCTACGGTGCTTTTACTTTTTTTCTAGAAAATCGGCCGTCTAGTCTTCCATCGTCAAAATCGACGGGGCCCCCTTTTTTTTTCTCTTTTGTTTTGCGGCGACTCTCGTGCTCCGGAAAAATACATCTGACCCACCACCGCCACGCCCTAGAGCCGCCGCCGTGCCGCCGCGTAGCCTCACCGCCGGCGCCTCGCGCCCCCTCCGCTGCGCGCCTATCGCGCGCGTCGCCATCTCCGGCAGCTCCCATCTACCCAACTTCATCGCGCCCCTGCTCCGTCCGTCCGCAACCTTGGTTCATGAGGTACGTGTGACCTTCTCCGCATCGATCCAGCTATTAATCAACCAATCCATTCAGTTAACTTCCACAAATTTTGGGGAGCGGCGCACCATCTATGACGAGATCCAATTTTGGCAGCGAATTCTGCTGTTCCATTGCCAGGTGACTGGTGTGCGTTCTTGGCAGCAGCTGGTTGCAGCAATGGATGACGGGGACCTCGATTTCTCCAACCCGGAGGCGTACCTGTGCTCAGACACCGGCGCCGATCTGCCCGGCGGCGGCTGCTCCATGGACAGCTACTTCGACGGCATCCTCAACGACACGGAGCACCTTGCCTGCACCCACACCCACACCTGCAACCCGCCCGTCGACGACAGTTCGCACACCCACACCTGCGTCCACGTCCACACCAAGATCGTCTCGGCGTCGTCGGATGGCGGCGCCGACTCCCCTGCCGAGAACAGCGGTGCCTCCAAGAAGCGGCCGTCTGGCAACCGCGCAGCCGTGAGGAAGTACCGGGAGAAGAAGAAGGCCCACACGGCGCTGCTGGAGGAAGAGGTGGTTCAGTTGAAGGCTCTGAACAAGCAGCTGCTGAAGAAGCTTCAGAATCACGCGGCGCTTGAGGCCGAGGCTGCCAGGCTCCGCTGCCTGCTTGTTGATATCAGGGGGAGGATCGATGGGGAGATTGGCACTTTCCCTTACCAGCGGCCTGTGAAGAACGTTGATTTGGTTTCTGGTGTTGATCAGGGGGGGTTTCTTGGCAGTGCCCAGGTTATGAACTCGTGTGATTTCAGATGCAACGATCAGATGTACTGCAATACAGGAATGCAGATGAGAACAATGGGTGATGATGGTGCTATGAGTGGTCAGGTATTTGGGCAAGGCACTGGGGATATTGCAAACATCCAATGCATAGGGGGTGTGAAATCTGGATTCACAATGCCCCCAGGCTGTGGGGGTATGGGGACATTGCCTTCTGGCTGTTTACCCAGTTCTGAAAAGCAGTGAAGGTTAGTGTCTTCTTTTATTGCTTTTATTAGATAATTTTTTTTCTAGCAAGACCACTCTAGGACAATAATTTGCTAGCTAATTTTGTGTTGGACTAACATGTTCAAATTATGTATATGCAAACTCATGAGAGTGCTTGTGCCGTCTATACTCTATACTGTAAAATCGTCTGTTAATAGCTTACCTCTATTGTGTGTCTATTTGGATATTCTTTTATTTGGTGACCTGGAATCTTGTTTTGACGATATATAGTCGGAATCTATGTAACAATTTTCCTTGGATTGTATAACCCCCCCTTTGGAAGAAAAGGAACAATTGATTTTATTAGGAAACAATTAGCAATGTGATTCCTGTGCCGTTGAGCATGGTTGAAACAGTTGTTACAAATTGATAGGTGATGAAGACTAAATAGCTGTTTCCATGTATCCTTATAAGTTGTAACCATAGCTGTTTTTGTGTGTCAAGTGATAATAGAAGTTTAGAACTGGAAGCTTACCTGGTTTTTGTGTCTATTTGAATATTGTTTTATTTGGTGACCTGGAATCTTGTTTTGAGATATATATACTAGAAACCTATGTAAAAAAAAATCCTAGGATTGTATAACCCCCTTTTGGAGGAAAAGGAAGACATGATTTTATTAGAAAGCAATTAGCAATGTAATTCATGTGCTGTTGTCCATTGTTGAAACTATGAGTTGTTACATACTGATCGGTCACTAAGACTAAATATCTGTTTCCATGTATCCTTGTAAGTTGTAATCATATCAGTTTAGGTGAGTCGAGTGATAACTGTCTCGGATTTCAACTTTATCAATTCAGCACCAGTTGTTAGTTCACTTGCTTGTACAATATTAGTTTCGTACTTACGTTGCAAAAATTCCAGCTGCGGCCTGTGTGCTTGGTAGTTTGCGTCATTTATATGAAGAGCAAGTAGTGGTTAGGGTAGTGTGCTTGGTAGTTTGTCACTAGAAATTTAATTGATTTATGAAGTGTCTTGTCTTAATACAGTTTAGGCTGTCTAAGTTGTGAACGTTGCTTTGGTTACAGTGTGTGGACCTGCTTTGTTGTTGCTTTTTTCTTTGCTGTTGTATCTTCTCTCCGCTCGGAAACTTTGCAAAGCTGGTGCTAATCCGAGTATCGTAGTAACACAGATGCTTCTGCCTTTTTTCAGGATTTCCAAGGTGCTGTGTGCCATATATTCTCCTTGGCAGGTGCTATCAATCCTGTGGATGGAAGATTGTATAAATCGTTAGCTTCTATCCGCCGTGTTTGGTTCGAACCGTCGCGCGTGTGTGATTCTGTTGCCAATGATGCTTCTTCGACGGTGGCCTGAGGCGCTGAAACTTTATTGGGTCTCGAGCTGTCAGGGCATACTCCTTCTTTTTTCCCTAGCTCTCATTTCCAGTTTTGCTGGAGTTCGACAGCCTTGCTCCCAGTCCGAGGCGCACTCTCTCTGACAAAGAGTCGCCGAATCCTAGTGAACCATGAATAACAAGAGAGTGGTCGTCCATGTTGTGTGCCAGGAGGATACATGTTTGGTTTGGGTTAGACCCCAACGTTGGATATGATGTATGAGCCTTATGTATGCACATTTTGCATGGTATTTCAGAGTAGATGGTATGTTGTCTTTTCATGTCGTCAGTTTGAACACATCGATTCAGTTATTATTTGAACCTTAGCAAAATAACATTGCCATGATACATCATCTGAAGCTTCAATTGCGAGTGAATGAATGGGTGTTGCAGCTATAGCTGGATGGCTGGAGCATATATGTATTGTTATCGTCAGACAAACACATCACACATGCCTGCTTGCTGGAACTAACACAAGGACAAGTTGTAGACAGAAAAACAGTAAGAAGCTAATAAAAAGTTGCATCAGCATTTCTGATTACATCCGGTTGAGATAAACCGGTCAAAAGTTGCAACGACGCAGGAGCGAAATTCCATTGATTTCACAACTCAGCAGGCAGCCGTAGAACAAGCCAACCATATAAATTGTTCAGGAACACTGCAGACCCTTAACAATGTGAATCATGAGAACACAGAACTTTAGCTCTTCTGCATTGACCCTGCATGCAAACAAGACAAAGTCTGAAACCAGTTTGGAATGCTACCAATAGCCAATAAAACTATACACGCGCGAACAATAAAGATAAACGTCACAAGCCTTCGATTTCCACTTGTTCAAGATTGATCAAGGAGATGTCTTTGCTTCTCCAGCTCTTGGGCTCGTCAAAGGACAATTTACCGGGCATTCCGCTTTCACCTAGAACAAATGTGGATTAGTACTATCTATGCATTTACTGATGATCCACAGCTGAAGCAAAGCATTACATCTGGTCTCTGGAAGATGATCTTGAGCTTTTGTGTAGCGGTACCGAGCAGGCGCAACGCAAATGACCCGAAAGCATGCCCCACCGATCTTATATCACAATCACACTCCATTGTCGTGAAAAGTGGCTCCAGAGCAGAGAATCCGGAGGTAACCAGATGTTTCCCAATCTCCTGCTCGAAGGTGAGTTCTGCATCAGGATAACTAGTCAGACCCTGGCAAAGGAAATGTTAGTCTCCCATTCATGAGTTTGATTCAGTCAGATATATAATCAGGTCGATCGGTTGTCGTAGGACATGAGACATATGCAAGCCCACATGTGCAGGGACAGCACGTTGGAGTGCTGCTGCAAGCGTGCGCCGTCGTCTTCCCCGGGCACCTCAGCGGCGGCATGTAAGCTCACGCTTGAGAGGCTCCAAGGATCTTGTCCACAATAGCTGCACTCCCAGGAGACCTTGTCCACAATCGGTGCCACGATGGACACGCCGAGCTCGCCGTCGACGGAGAACGACAGCGCCAGTTTCTTGAGCATGGGAGCGTCGACGTCGATGCGGCCGGTCCATCTGCTCAGGTTCGCCGCAGCCAGTTCCTCCAACGACCCCGATTTGACTGTGATGTTGCTGTCGAGGAGGCCCTCGGCGACGGCGAGCACGCGCAGGCGCGGGCAGAGGGGGGTCAGGTCGACGAGGTCGACGCGGCAGCCGGAGAGGGACAGCCTCTGGAGCGCGGGGAACCCGGCGGGGCGTGGCGGCAGCGTGAGGCGGAGGCAATGGCCGCGCAGCTCGATGGAAGCGGGGCAGGTCGATATCGAGGAACTCCCGGCTGCGCGGGAGGGCCAGGCGGAACTCCGCCGGCGAGAGCCCCGCGGCGGCCTCCTGCGCCGCATGCCCGGCCCCGGCGACGAGGATGCCGAGGAAGGACGCCCCTATGAGCATACACTCGTAACGCACGCACGCACGTCCTATCCCTACGAGCATCTCTGAAAGACTGAGCTGGCATGTCATCTTGAAATTTACGAAGTCATCGTAGAAATGTCTCCTCTCACTGAATGCGCATCGTCGGAAATTCTGAAATAAATCTAGAAATAGATGTGAATACCATGACTTGAAACCTGATGGGCTGAAGATACCACAGTACCTCTAACCATTCAACCACAGGTTGGTTTTAATGAGTACAATGGAAAATTAAGTTTATTTCAAAGATATTTTTAGATTTTTTTACTTCTTAATTATTACTATTTTTTTCTATATAGGGTGTATATCCAGATATGGGAAACAATTTTTTATATATAATAAAAAATAGAAAAACCACAAAATTCGAAAAGGCAAAATTTAAGCCAAAATAAAATGTTTTCTAACCGGCCTTCTCCATGTTCGTTACTTTTTTTAATCACATTTTATCCGTCAAGGAGAACAAAGATCCATAATGCAACACAAAAAGCAAATAAAATACAATGTAAATCAAGAGGGTCTTCAAATCCACAAACGGCGCCACTGGTCCCAGGACCTAGGACCCGAACCCCCATTTATTTCTTTTCCATTGCTTCCTGCTAATGCAGTGAAAAGCCAGCAATTGTTGGATCTTAAAAAGAACGGCGCCACTGCAAGCTAACAATTGCCACCATCACCCACAATCCCATAACCGATGAAAAGAAACAGCATCAATTTTTTGCCTGGCGGTACCCATTTACCTTCTCGGTTGGCGGGTATGGAGAAAAAAATTATCCATCAGGCAGTACCAGTACGGGTATGTGTAATGGATAAATTCGGGGAGTAAGGGATATGTGTAAGGGCATCTCCAATAGATTGTATGTTAGTTCTGTTGGTAAAATGTTCATGTCATCAACCAACAAGCTATTATACAACTATTTCAATAGGCTGTATCTAAGCTATCCAATAGATGATGAGAAAATAAATGTGATTGCTCTCTATTGCACCTTGGAGCTTGTGCAAAGGTTGTTGGTTATTTTACATACAACTTTGCTCGCTCTTCACATTTATTACATGTCACATCATCATTATATCCTAGAGGTGGCAAATTTACCAACACCTATCCTACAGCTGTTGGAGATGCCCTAATGGAACTGTGTGCATGACCCTATTATCTTTATCTTGTTTTTTGTGTTTTGTATTTTGCCATGAGCACACAAATGGACATCTTATTACACAAGATTTCGCAGGTTCACAAAGCACAGATAATTTATTCCCCCAAATTATTTGAATACCCCTTCTCCCTGCATTTGCTTCGTTTTCTGCTACAAATGACAGTGGTCTATTAACCACATCATATAGTTGTACTACGATGGCAGTGATCTAATTAAGCGCACGAAACCACCACCAAACTAAGATGCCACGTGCTTCACATAAAGAGAGGATGAAGAGGATGAGCTTTACTGACCAATATTGGGCAAATTAGACCAAATTTTGGAAATCAATGACCGTTTTACATAGGCGCAGGCATTATATATAAACCGAAAGAGAGATAGCATATGGCGTTGACACTTTTCGTCAACAACGTCACTTGTCGGCCATTGCTACCATGAAGCTCCATTACATCACTGAAATAACACCCGACCGCCTCATTGAGCCACCAAGCGGAATTCCAAAAGGAACAGGATGATAGCGGAGTTGGTGCGCACAGGAGGTGATGATCTCGTCAACAAGCACC